GGTCTGGAACAATTGAGAAACAAATCATGGAGGATCTTTGCTTCAAATGCCATAAACGGTGAAGGATTAAATGACGGTTTGATGTGGTTATTTGGACAACTGAAACAAAGTAATAACTAAAATGTGATAAAGATTCTGATAGAGAAAAGATATAGGTGACCCATCAGGATATGTCATTTGCTTTTCCAACGAAATAGAAGTAAGACCCTTGGAATTTGTGTCAAAACACTTGAAATTTACGTTCAAAATATAACAAAATCCAGAACAAATCTAAAGATAGGAAACCAGATGTTTATGCTTTTAATCATTAGTACTTTTATGCTATCTTACCGCATTTATTTCAAATGTTAAAATTTATAAAAATGACTAAAATGTACTGGATAAAAAGGTTTTAAAAACTTTATATGCTATGGCTGTCATTCACTTTTTTTTATGATTAAAAAGTAGCTTTGTTTTCATTCAAATAATTTATGATTCTTATCTTTCGAAACCGAATGCAGCACGTTTTTACGTATAGCTATTCGCTATATTAAATACTTTCATTAAGAATTTCACTAGACCACCATGGAAAACCTGGAAGCATTGGACGGTTGTTTCGTCCTAGTATGGGACTCTTCATTGGGATATTAAATTATGCAAATTAAATGGAGCATTTCTAATCAATTAGTTATTCATAATGATTTCAAACTGTTATCAAAGTTTACCAATCAAGAATAAAATTAATACTAACTAAATCTAATTGAATCAATTAAGTTATGCATTTTATATCTTTCCCTCCAAATTTCATGATCAGTTAACTACTCAGTGAATATACAGTTAGTTATGTAGAAAAATAATAAGAAGAATCAAGAAAGTGTTATAACTTGTTGTTTGAATGCTTATTGTCTTGGCTCTTTTAATGATATTTTTTGTATTTGGTCGTCGCTAATTGTTATGTCGGAAACGCTTATCACTTATACTCGGAACGAGGGACCTCCGCAATTCCACAACGTGAATGTAAGAACACAAGACTGGCATAAGTGAAGATTTATTAACCCTAAAACACGACGACGACCTTCGTCGAAAAATACACTCATTTATATATTGAGTGTACACCTATTTTAATTAATAATTAGGATAAAATCACATATATGAAAAATACTTAGAGTTATAACAAATCACAGACTGAGTATAGTTCATGTCAATGGAATACAAGAATATCGTATATTATACAGAATAAAATATCATACGAGAAAAGAGAACAAATACTACATTGAGTAATTATTACATTGAATCGAACGGAAGTAATCTTGAACAATAACTCATAATGAGTAAATCAATCGAAAATTGACTTTTCTTTCCATCATATCAGAAAGTTTGGAACTAGACCACTCAATATAAATGTTAAATGTTGTTCATTAAACAAGTATTATGTAATTAAAAAAACGGGTGCAACAAACATTAATTAATTGGATTATCAGGATATAAATTAGATAGACTTGGTTGATTGATGTATATTCTTATGGCTTCTGTTATTTGTAAAGATAATAGAAGCATAAGTTCAACTGGATTCTACCCATGACTAACTATAAGAACTAAACATATGTTGATATGCTGGTTGATATAGACTAAATGTAAGAGAACAGAGCTTTTTATTTTTTTCTTCTAGTCAATCAAACGATTAATATTCTGAAATACGATAATGTATTTGTCTGGTTTTACGCTTTTCATTACAATTTTAGTTCAGGTTTTCAGAAATATTTAAGCAACCTATCGTTCAACGAACTTATTTTTACTCAATAGAAATAACTTTATAGTTATTCAAGAAACTGTTCCCTTTTTACTTAGTGGTCTTACCAACATCCAGTGTCTGACAAAACCTTTTACCAACATAAAGTCTTCATTAAGGATTTATGAGTTTATAATTTTCATACTGAAAGGCAAATGTTCGTTTACAAATTGAGGAGCGAGTATATTACATAAAGGTTTGTTTTAAATAACTTTAAGGTTAAATATTAAGATAAAAGTGAAATGTGTATATAGGTTTCAAGAGTTGAATTGTAGGGTGTCTTTGGCAAATTGTTAGTGAATAAATAAACTGTATTGGTATTTCTAAATTAAAATGAATCATTTAGTATTATGTAGCTTACTTTACCAGTGAAATAAATAGAGCTCCGCTTAACTGTAAAGTGAAAAACGTTATTAGACAGAAGTTTCCTACTCATTAACTTCGTCTCCTGCAGCATAAGTGGTCAAATAAAAAATGTGCATGATTACAGTATTTCAGCATAGATATTTCTGAAGCACTGTTGATTTATAATGGAGCTATTCATGAGTAGTATTAGTGCAAACTACTGGATATCTTAACCAGGTTTATCAAACATTTAAAAATCAGGCTAAAAAGAGAAAATAGTGGTGCAAACTAATGTAGCATATGACGTCGTTGACTGTTAATATAAGAAGTTTGAGGAACTGAGATCTTTCTCAATTTTTGTTTCCTCCTAAATTCTAATGATTTCAGTATTCCACATGTTATGATTTCTTTCAGTTACGACCCAGCTCCTCTTATTGCTTAGTATTCTTAGACACTCCTTTATTAGACAAGTCCTTAAATCAGAACACGGTTGAACAGGAACGTAAATATATTCCAAATAACACGGTTAAATGGAAGTAGGAATCAGAATAAGGAAAACATCAGTATACTTATAATTTTTACGTAAGAAAATCCCAGAGTCTTCACCAAGTGTATCCACTAGTGCTGATTGGCTAAGAAATAGCCATGCTTTAATCCAATATATATTCCGCTAACACCAAATTTGTTGGCGTTTCCTGTAAACAAGGTACATTAGATGTAACCAACATCCGCTCTAAAAATGTATTTGATAGTGTTGCTTCTATAAGGATTGGGAGGAAGACGTTATGAATTCGGTCCTTGGGCATTTATTTGATTGGATGATAATTTCAGAATGAATATATTAAGTTGTAGAGTTAAACAATAAAGGGAATTATCAAGAAAATTCTCCTGTACAGCCTTCATTTAATAAAGGTTTCGCAAAAATTGAAATGGTGCTACTTAACAGTTTAAAGTAAATAACTTTCATAGGCATCATAATTAGTGGGATGAGTATCAATATCGTGAGTTAAAATATATTCAACTGATAGCAGTCGGTGGAAGGATTATGAACTCAAAGGTAGGCAGTAGGTTTATGTTAGGTGAAGTTTATGGATAACCAGCGTGTATGACCTATAGTTCCTTTTATGCATAGAAAAAAAAGCAATGATTATCTCACTGGTATAATAAAGTAGCGGATATCAACAGGTATATTGAAAAAAAGGTAGATTTCTAAAGGCACATTACTTAGTCCATAGAGTATTGTCCTGGTAAGTGACTCAAATAAACGATTATGGTTTATGGAATTGCTTGAATACTTTAAATTATAGATAACCATAAGTTTGTTAATTATAAACTGATTGATAAACAGATCTCTCTGGGATACGATATAAACGAATTTTATTTAGTTAGTATAGAATATGTTGTATCATTTTAGCAATTTCATCTTGTTTGGGATTACCAACAATACGGCAGTAAATCTATGGTCAGTTAGATAAAACACTTCGTTACGATTTTTTGAAACAATAAGATAATTTTACACATTATACATTATAACACCTTTATTTCTGTACTCTAATTATTATTGTAAATATATTCAAGGCTAATATTTATAACTCATAGAGGTAACCGTTAAATCGAATAACTAGATTGAGTGTATAACGAAATAGTTAACATTGAAGCTGAAATTTATATTATAGAGACACGTAAAGAACAGCAGCTCTAGAGGTCAGTAATAAAAATCATACAGTAATGAATATTCGAAAGAGAATAATGACATTGATAATAATCATAGTAACAACTACAATGGTGGTGACGATATTTGAGAATAAATGTTCTCTTGAAATTCGCTGGAGAAATGTATGTATATACTGCGGTCCTATTGTTCCCAACAGTTTTGTTATAAATTCAAGTGACCAAAAAAAAACAACGACAAAATTCAAAGCAATAAAAGTAATTACAACCTAAAGTAGCACACTTAAAAAATTTGAAACTACCCAGTCAAACACAATGTTCATAATTCAATAAACGAGTAAGCGGATGAAGAAAAAAAAGACACAATGTTAAGTTATTTAGTAATATTTAATATACACATATGTTTAAAGCTTGTGCGTGTTAACGATTCTTTCTGAATAGTTTTGCCCTAGTTATTTTAAAAGCGAACATTTTGAATCTATATGTAAAATAGTTCAAATAGTTTACCGTTTTAAAAACAACAGCATAAATTTACTGAATTATGTTAATGAGTTGAATAATATAAATATTGAGTAATTAGACAGTTAGTAACTAGAAGATATTACATTTGATGATTCGGGGAAGAAAAATGAAAGAAATCTGAATTATGAACTTATCAAAAGAAAAAAGAAATCAACAAAGAGTTGAAGAATAAACATGTGGTTTGTTCACGGTTCGTAGAAAAAGAAAAGCACTGGTATAACGAAACAATTATTAAATGCTAGTCAGATTGTAATTTTACAACCAGGAGTATTCGTGTGAAACATCGGTAACATTTCTTTTTTTTTGTGTGACTTATCCATCATTGTACTAGTACGAAAGACTCTATATGTGTACTAATGTAAATAAATGTAGGACAAGTTGACAGTTATATTGAAATGTTAAATAGATATAAATACAAAGAAAATGAAATTTAGCTAAAATAGACAATAAAGCTACAAAATGGAAAAAAGAAAATGTAAAAGTAAATGGGGGAGAGAATTGTAAAAACAATATGATAATCATTAATATCTGTTAGACAAAAAAAGAAGTAGTAATAAAGAGATGTATAAATAAATCATTAAGTAAATAGAATGTATAACTGACACATCGCTATGAGTTGTTTGATTTATATTTAATGTGAAAATGCAATACGACTGATTGGGAATCGTAACAACACCGGGGTTGTACCACGTACTGGTAGTAAAGTTCGTGAATAACGATAAATCATAGATGAAACACTTGGATATGGTTGACTATATTCGCCTAAAACATAACCTCCAGTTTCAGGATCTTGTGAAATTTTCATATGGAGTACATCACTTTCTCGTCTATAAAAAGAAACCGGGTAAAATACACTAGAAAAGTCAGTTTTTGGAAAGAGAATAATTTGTTAGTTGGTGCAAAGAATTTAGTAAACAAATTAATTGCACTTTAAAAGAAATCCATGTAACTTTTACAGCATGTTACACCCATAAATAGTCACTTAAAAGTTGTTTCTCCTTTAGTATTATTTTTTACTCCTTTTACACTGATGTCCATTTATCCAGTATTGGTAGTTAATCGTACTCAATAAACCAAGGTAAATCCCTGAGGTCAAACAAAAAAGTGATCGTAATCTTGGTTTCAAATTATAAATACGATTTCATGTAGACCACTATCTGTTTCTGATCATGTATCTCAGTGAACACGTAGATCAAAATTACGACAGACTTTAGCATTACTAAAATAGTGGTGATTTGTAGCTCGAGAGTATGGTTTTGTCGAAACTTCTGTCTCTGACCTTAATGTTTTGACTCCGTAACCTTCGTTATCTCTTCATACAAAATAATTGGTGAAAAATTCAGACGGAAGCGAGTCATAAAAATTTCTCCACAAATAACTAGTAGTTGACCTTGAAGCCGATTAATCTTTATTAGTATTTGTCCTATTATCATTACTTTATAATAATTACATCAAAAGTGTAATGGGATGGTGGAGAAGATTTTTAATTCAGATAGATGATTTTGGTGGAGTTTTGATTTCTGGGTTGAATAGTTTGGTCGTGGAGCTTTTATCGTTATTCTGAACGACATCATCAACACAAACTTCAGGTGAAAGTCCAGCTTAGAGAAAAAAACTCCATCAACATTGCAATCAAACATTTAAGTAGAAATGTTACACAATACAGAAAATTTGAATTAATAGTCAAATGGAACAGAAGTAAACTAAAAGGTTATATGTTAAAAATAAATCACAACATAATCAAACGAAAAAACTTACTTTATTGATAGTGATAGTTCTGTTTTACTTGTCTCACTTCTTCTTACAAGAAAACTACCTGTCGGTGTAGATTTCAATAATTTTTCTGCATGTGAACGTGAAAGATCACAGTGAAACCATCTAGTAAAGAGAAGAAGAAAAAAAACAACCCAAAATATATTCAGCACATCAATTTGATCAAACTCTTAGGATAACATCATACTACTTAAAAGTAGTTTACATTTTCTTAAAATAATAACAACTAAACGAAACAAATTCTCTTTGTGATGATGTCATTTATTATTGCTGTACAACTATATGGTTGGTTGTTTGTTTGTTTGTTTAGTACATCTAAGTCTATAGTAAGAGAATCAAATATTATGTCATTTGAAAATTGATTAGATATATTTCTAAATATCAAAGAAATTGTATGGTCGACTGAAGGTTAATGTGAAAAAAATATGATAAAAAGTAGATAATGAATGAAAGATAATTATTCACTTAGAAAATATTAAAGGAAAAGATTAATCGGATAAAAGATATCAACAGTGGCTTATAGTTTTTCAACATAAAGATAGTGTATTGAAATGCTAACGTTTCTATCGTATAGATATATATTTGATCTGTATAACTTTTAAGCTAGGTTATTTAAAATTAAAGGGGACTTTCAAAGTTGTTAATCAAGGGCCTATATTACTAGGTTTGGCTAAGTGATCAATCAAGAATAGAACTATTGATCATTTTGTACTAATCTTTTGACAACCGTGCCTGGTAATGCTTGGACAGGATGTTCTGATTCCTTAAAAAAGAACATTTTTCGCAGCAACCCTGCGAATAGTATTCTCCAGCCTATAAATTATCGTATATGACCAACTCAATATGCATTTACCAATTTACCTGCTCATGTGGAGCTAGGTATATAGGTCGTTCTATGAGTACTTTATCCAGAAGAATTCGAGAACATTGTCGGGCGTGGATAAAATGAAGAGGCAACGGCTCAATAAGTTCAATGATCGAACACCTTGTGAAAACGGTTTACTCAATCAAGACAGACTCTGCATTCAAAGTCATCTGCAAGGTAAGTAGAAGTCTACCAAAGACAATTAGACCGCATCTTCTTTGCCGAAGCATCAGCCATACATCTGGAGACACCAGAATTGTGTGTGCATCAGAGACTGGTACAACCTCTTCTTCTACTACCATGGTCTTAGTGTCTTATAAATTTTTTTCTCTTTCTCATACTCTCCTTCCTTTACAGCCATCTGCTTCACTTTCCATCTTCCCTTCAAATCCTCTACCCCCCAACTGGTTTATTTTGTTTTTACGATCATTCTGATTACTTCTAATCTCAATTTCAACATTTTGTCGTATCATGCTGAGCCAACCTTTCCCATTGATAATTTCTCCTATCTATTTTTTGATGAATACTTAAGCCATTAACAATCAAACGATTATTAAACTTTCCTTGTTTTATGAAACAATATTTTTTTAATACCTTTGGTTATTTAACCTCACTGTCACTATGTCTAACAGAAGTTTATTAACAGTTTATTATCATCCTGTAAAAATAAGTATATACATTTGCGATTGTACAGCTTTGAAAATGAATTCGCCAAAAAGATAACTCTTCGATGAACTAATCTTTCTTATTTAATGTCTTAATGGGTGTATTCCGTTTACTAATAAATTAAATATTTTTATGTTTACCGGTTAGTTGGATCCTATCCTCAATCAAATCTCAAACGATGAGTTAAATGCTATGACATTCATCATGTGTATGTAGACACTTGAGTTGTGCATAAGTAATTGTAGGAAGAAGAGGACCCTAAAAGTCCATTACTTACAGATAATAAACATACATTTTCATCTAACATAAAACAAATTAAGTATTAACTACAAATAAATGGTCGGAAACTTGCCTTCATTATAACATATAAAATGTGTTTGGTGAGTAGTTATATTTACTGTGTTCTTAACCATGCAACGATTGAGACCTTTCTTCAAGTAATCAAAAATATTTCTCAATTATTATGATAATATCAGTGCTGGTGTGAATAGGGATGTTCTTTCTTTAATAATCTTGTTATTCCTGTACCCCTTTTGATCTGTTTTCTTAATGTTTACTTTACATATCAATAACTTAACTAATCACTGTGTGAAAAAATCGTGAAAATGTTTTTCTCAGTAAGAAGAAGCTCATCACTTTGATAAACTTATTCGTGTTACACTTACTGTTATTCTTATATATTTATGACATTGTTATACCTACGCGTGTGGTATGTGTCTTATTGTCCTTTGCCCACCAAGTGTTTTTATGTCAAAACTTGTCTATAAATGAAACATTTTTCAATACTAAGTAACAAAGCATTCATTTTGTAAGTAGTAAGTTGTTCACATCATGAAAAAAATGACTCATTGTAGCGAAATATTTGATCTAACCGCCTCATTATTTAGTTAAATAAAACAAAAAAGAAGCCAGAACGAAGTTTGATTCAATGAACCATTAGTTGGTTTTATCATTCTCTGTGACACGGGAATGTGAACCTTAACAGACAAAGAAACAAACACATCTATTAGCATGTATTACCGTTTTGTTTATTGTGATTAGCATTACGGTTCATTTATGGGGTTATAACTGCTAACTTGAGAGTTGGCCTACATGAAGAAGAATATTTAAAAAATTCACAATAGGCAAATGAAGGGAAGAATGTATAGAGAAAATGATGGACAGTTGACAATTTGAATAATGCCAGAATTTAGTATTATTATTATGATTTGAATAAAACAAATAAATAAAGGAAATTATCTTTCCTTTCCATCCGTGTGGTATCTAGGACTTAGCAGAAAATAAGAATAGAGATAGATAAATATGTGCTTAACTATTTAAAAAAAAAGTGAACTGTATAACCTTCGCAGAATATTTTCTGAATATTTAACCGGTACTACAAACAGAAACATTTCTGTGTTATATAATAATCGGGTGGTGAAAAAGTGGTAAGGTGAAGATAATCGTACCACTTTTTCACCATCCGATTATTGCATAACTTCCTCTCACTCAATATTTGATTTTCAAAGCTTGACAACATGCTTCTTTTGTTTTAGGGAAATATTTCTGAATAATGATGGTTATTTTAAGTTAGGAATAACGATCATAATTGTAAGTGAAACAAACAATCGCATTTACTAGTAATTATAAAGCTATATGCAACACGTTAGATTTTGTGCCTAATTCAATGTACTTAAGCAGGAGTAAGAGGTAATCAACTCTATTGGTATCTGGGCTATAACTCCTTATTTCAGTCAATGATTAAAACAAATGATTAAGCATACACATATGTCCTGTAAGTATTTAATGTTTCGGTTTAAAACACTAAGATACATAGTCCAATTTTCACAGTTACTGAAGTGGATTAATCAGTTAAGTTCGAAAAGGGTTCTTATTGCACTATATAAATCCAATACTCATCCGAAGCTTAGGTGTCAGAGATCATCTGCAAATATGATCCAGAACTGAGTTTTTCATAAAACGATAATCTTAACTACATAAACTATGATGGACAAAACACTCAAATTAGCCAAGTCAGTATTTGCGTATTGTGTTTCATTAGGTAAATGAGTCACTGACCTAGTAATCAGAATTAGGCTTGATCAATATTGCTTATGCCCCAACATTTGTATCGATAATCTGTCAAGCGGGTGAATAGTGTTTCTAGTCCAGGAGCCATTAAGTTTACGAGCCTCTGTCTTGATTATCTGATGTTAACCATGTAGCTTTTACATACCAGTTTGCTATAGCAACACGAAATACATAACCACGGCTATATTATATTAGAGGGCAAAAACGTCAGGTTATATAGAAATTACCACTATTAGGCAAACAGGTCCGAGTACTATAAATACGACTAATTTAATAAAAAAAGGTACATTCTTTGTAGTGTAATTGTGTGAATACTGTCTTCAATGTATTACATCCCAAGTCAATGCATTGATCTAGTGGAAATCAGAACAAAAGCTATATTTTAATCAATTACTTTTCTCTTTAAATTAACCCCATTGAATTGAATAATAATAATGAACATCATGTTGAACAGTCGATATGTAGCTAGGATAACATGATTTGTTGTAACTTTTAGTGAAAAGATGGTCTAACAGAGTGATTACTACTAGAGTAGTATTATAAAAACTGAAAACAATTACAATGTGGTACAAATGCCATTTGATTATATTATATATCATAGTGACGAAATCGGTTGTTAACAGATGCTGAAATAAATAAAGTGATAGGATTACGAATTTACTCAAGGAATCATTCTCTAGATCTCAATTGAATGGATGTCAGAGAACAGAAGAGTTATTTAACTGACTGACTGACTGACTATAAGTAACATACATATTTGAGAATGTAGATGAATGTTTATATGTAAAATATTCATTCAGTGTAGTATGATAATGATATACATATCTGTTTCCCAATGAACGATGATTAAGGAAACTAAAAAATCACGGTGCTATCATAACTATATCCACACCAGTCCGGCACAACACTAAGGATATGTTGATATTGATGTGGTTGGAAAATGTAGTTATCTATTCACTTGGTGTTGTTTGCTTGAATCTTCTCACTGTTGCTTAGGTCTGCAATTGATCAGTCTCATTTTGGCATATGTGCATTCTGTACGGATTGACTTGATATTGCAGGTACATCTAGCCAACAAGTCCCAAATCGGACGAAATGCACATCCTGTATCCCACTGCTAGCCACCATTCATCTTTGCTTGTAATCATCTATTTTTTGAAACTATCAAGTGTCTTGATCATATCCAACTGAACATCAAGTCCTATCAATAGAAGTAAATCTAGTTTTTGAAAAAAAGGTATTATTTTGCCTGATTTATCTATTAGTAGGAGAAGTTCATACGTCTGACCAAAACTATCCTTCGTTAATTCACAAGAAGTATTACTAAATACTTGAACTATCTAGTTATCCTAAAATTTAAAAGTCTTAAGTACTTTCGAATTTTGAACATCATCGTTTTTTAGTTAATTTTTTTAAACTTTATGTAAATAAGTAAAAGTTGCTAATAAAAATATCTTACAGTTGATTTTCAAGTTGTTCAGATATCGCTGTTGTACTACTACTATGATGACGTGGAAAATCTGATTTTCGATGTCTGTAGTATTCAGCTGGAATGTGTAGATTCTCATTGTATCTCTTACTTCCCTGGTAATCTATTATGTCGGGGAAATTTTCTGAACTAGCAGCAACATTTGGTCGTCTTCTATGCCATTGAACAAGAACTGGAGGCCAAATGGAATTACTATCTGGATTGGCTGGTACTGTTTGACTTAAGTTACGATGATAATATTTTGAAGGTATTGAACATCTTGTGTGATCTGAGGACGTGCTTAATTGATTACCTTCTAATAAAGTAGTTTGTGGATCGGCAGTACGTTGACTGTGTGAACGAATCATATTTGAATGATGTTTTTTGTGTTTAGCGCTGGTTGAATCATTTGATTTAACATCTGGTGGGCCCCATCCTGAATCTAGAGGGAAGAATACAGATTGCGTCATACTACTGTTGTAACTTGGTGCAAATAAATCTGTCATACAGGAATTCTCAGAATTATATGAACGATTTCTTTGAGGATAATACTGTACATGTGTAGAATCGCTTGACATGCGAGTCGATCTCATATCTGTGACAAAATTAGGGTTATTATGAACAAGGTTATCAGATTTATGTCTGTAATGTATAAAGTATTCTGATTGTTGTTCAGGAAATCCAGCTGGTAAACTAGATTGTGTCATTAAAAGTACATTATTATTTTTACTGGTAGGTGGAATTCTAGAGGCGAAATGTTCTTTATGTGTTCTTGTTGGAGATAAATGCATAATACTTGATTGCATGTTCGTAAATGTGGGTTCTGCACTGATTTGGTGCTGAGTGAAATCACGACAAGATCGACGAATTCCGTTTCGTGTGTTATCTGAACAAAAATAGATCAAGTGGTGTAATATATAAAACGTAATTATAAATTTATGTCATAAGAATTTTAATAAAGTAACAGGGGTTAAAAACGCAAAACTTTATATGAAATTGGCATTATGTTTGTCACCTTTTGTAAAATTTTGCATCAAACAGCTAATTTCAATTAGTGAATTTTCAATATCTAGTTGTTCTTAACAGCTTCGATATTAATAAACACTTGATTTGCTTATTTTGCGTTATCGACTAGTTAAAGAGTAGTACAAAATAAATTTACTTATGCGTCGGTGAGATATGAACTTCTCATCTTTCAGATCTTATAATGATTTATAAACCATCAAATGGTTTCTATTATAAATATCAAATTTGAAAATGAGGAAAATAGCTAAATTTCAATGATTCGAGACACTGTAGCTGGTTGAAATACATTGTTTTTAATTCTAATGATTGTCTATAAATGTGCTTAATTTTCATTTCTATGTGAAGTTAGTTATAAGAACTATTAGAAACTAGAACTCATTGAACAGCATGGATTTTTATAATTCTTTCTTTGAATCATAAATTTTAGTATACTTTCATAATTTATATTGAATCTTATTGAGTCAACATCGACATTACTATTAATTAGACTATCATGGTACTGTTCATTCTATTGTTTTTATGTAGGAATTTGGCAGAATTAACATTCATGTTAAGCAATAAGTTGACTATAACTGAATGAATAAACAATAAGTTAAAAACACATAGTTCAGCGAAGGGATCTCTTTTCAAGGAATTTATTACCAAACTGTACAATTGTATATATGTGAAAATGTTTTTTGTTAAAGGACCAGTTATTCCGTGAGGAAATCTGAACAAGGAATAACCCTTTATTATTAATATTATTATTATTATTGCATTTCTCCCCTTATTTATGTCTCATATTCACATTATTTTATTCATATTTACTTATGATATCACTTTTTTTAATTTTTTACCCCTCTATGACCTTTAGTGACCTTTAATTAATGTAATAAAAACATTTTAATCATCTTACTACATTCACGTTATAATTCGTTATTGTTATTATCCGTATTATGTAATCCAGTATTACAATCTTTCTGGTACATCATCTCTGTTCACATTTCCTCACGGAACTAATACTTTAACAGAAATATATATATATATATATATATAATATATATATATATATATATATATATATATATATATATATATATATATATGTACGACTGTACAGCTTGATAATAAATTCCTTGAAAAGAGATCCTTTCGCTGAACGTTGTGTTTTTAATGTTTAGAATGGGAATTATCTATCAAACAATGAATCAATCTAGAACAAAATTTAATTAAATTTCGTATTACAACCATGTATGTCCATTGAATTATACAGATCATATTTCTGCAACTCTTAAAATTCACTTATATATAAATATAATGATTTTCGAAGGATTTACTTAGCCTAGTTAATCCCATTAAGAAGAAAAAGAAGAAAAAATAGAACAAATCTACTCAAATCTTGATATTATTCTTATTACATTTTGTAAAGTTTTTTTTCCTTCTCTTTTTTTTGCACCAGCTGTTTATATGATTGTATAGAAATAAACATAATGACCTGAAGTCTTAGAGATTACATGTGTTCAACTATTTACTTATTATATATAATTGTTACAATATTCTAACGTATATATGTACTACCACGTTGAATGACCACAAAGAAACAAAATCACATTTCATTAGTTAATTAATTATGGTCAATTGAAAGAGATATATTTTAAAATTAATGAACATTATTATTTCAATTCAATAGATTGTATTGTTTTATTGTTGTTTTTAAAACATAAAATGAATTATTAGAGAGAAGAAAAGAACTTGAACATTTTTACTAGTGTTATTTATTATTGCCATCATCATCATCATCACCCTCATCCATATGTTGTTATGTTTCAATACTACTGAATTATTTAAATAAGTATTCTTACCGTACAGGGATAAGAATTTCAATGGAAAATTCAAGTTTATATATATATTCATTTAGGATTATATCAATTATTTTAGAAACATGAATATTTTCTTTAGTACAAGAAAAAAAAGAAGTAAAAGTAACATTTCTGTCTTATTATGTAACATAAGGAGGTATTTACAGCTTAAATGTATATATGTATATGTACAGGTTAAGATATCTAATTTACCTACTTTTGTATCAAAATTTATCAGAATACTTTGTTTATTAAAGTTGGAAGAATTTAAAATGTTGATTATGATCATATTTGATAAAAGTATGTTATAGGGTAATAAATTTAACGTATACATGAAATGTCAAAATAATACAATGAATTAGTAGCAGAAAACTATGGTCATTTGATCTTTTCAGTAAACTATATTAATTATATGATATAAAGATAAATCTGTATAAGTCAGTCGGCTACAACGTAGGACCAGGCATATATATGCATAGGTCCAAGTTGCCATACCGCATTAGCACCGCAAGATGAACACCGGATTCATAGGAGTAGTTAATCCAATGGTGGTAATGTATAAAAGAAAGATTGCATATAAGGATATAGTACAGGAAGAAAGTTGTTGCTACCTTGACGTGGTGGTCGCGCTTGCCTATCGTGATGAAGCAACTGAGCTATACTGGTTGGAACAACCGTTCCTCCAGGTCCTACCATGCCAGACAGGTCGGTTGAAGAGCGGTAAGACTAAAAGCAACAAACACAAGGTCTGAAGGCGAAGTCGTAATGCTGACTGTACAGAGGTGTGACGGCAGTAAGGTGTTTCACTCAAACGACTAGCATGACAGCGATGCTGTCCTCCCACAAGGAGAAATGGGGTTAGAAAAGGTCGACCCTAAAAATGCACGCCTCACTTTATCCCACGGATATCCGTCTCCGGCGGTAAGGTCTCAACAAGTACTGACCTAACACGGAAATTACTCATAAAAAGGTCGTGTGTGACCGACCTCAAGTAGTTGTCCCTTGGGCACTGCGGTCACGCTCTCAGGTCACTAAGACCACCTCTAATCCAATTTCCTTTTCAGACCCCTCCAGAAGAACCCTTCCACGGTGTGGGTAACCGGGAAGTGATAACCGCCCTCATACCTCTAACAGCACTCAAGACCACTGTATTCATAATCAACCTCCCTCTTCAACTCCTAAATTTGCATGATGATGATGATGATATAAGAATCAATTTTATGAGCAAATGATGTGATATAACAGTTAACAAAAGTTTGATAACAAATTATAGTCTATCAAAACCGCTTAATCTAAACAAAAGAATCCATAATTTTTTTGGGTAGAGGAGAGAGGAAGATATATAATTATATGAATCTGAAATACGATTTACCTCAGAATGGTTTAAATGGAATGACACAAAAAAACTGATATACAGTTAAGCTTCATCTAATGTTTACAACCACAAGACGATTTCCTGTATATGTTAGATTCATTTATTTCAACTAGAATTTGTTTTCAACATGTATATGAAAACACATTCTAGTTTGTATCTACAAGAGTGAGAGAAAAGAGGTTAAGCATTCAGTCTTCAAATATTCAGTTAGTTTTGATAACTCATCTAATCCGCATGTTGATTTGAAGTTTATTCATAAAATTTTTTTATTCTAAATAAACTAAGCTTTCTTTGTTTTCAACTTGTTGAAATATCATAAACTTTGGTCATTCATTTTGTGAAGCTTAAATTCTATATACGAAAGAAATATCTTTTATGTTTTGACTTCGAATTTTCTTTGTTATCATTGTTGTTTATTATATTTTCAGTTCATACACATAAGCATCTGAAAATGTTTCTTCTTTCTAAATTATACTTCAGATCCTTTGTTTTTCGTTCTTATTTATTCTCCATACCATTTCACTTAACTACCGTAATGTCCTGCCATTTAAATAATCAAAACGAAATAATTATTTTAACTAGCCTATTCCATTCATATTATAATCCATTTTCAGTTCAGTAGTTCCCGGCCCTTTTTATATATTCACATCCTGTAGAAGTTAAGTAAACCTGTATAGTTATCATCGGCACTAAATGGTTTATTATTTTAATCTTTACTTTTATGTAGTGTGTTGTTTAAGGGACGATGTTAACAAAGTTGGTTGCCGGCTCAGTGGTCTAGAGATTAAGTGTTCGTGCGAGACCGAGGACCTTGGGTTTGAATCTTCCGTGTGTTATCGTGGATACACACTGCCGGGGAGTTTCATACTGGAACGAAACAGTCGTCCAGTGCATCCAGGTTTTCAATTGTGGTGTAACATTGGTCGGTCCATGATTTCAATGAAATTCAACAATCTCGACAAACTCAAACTGAAGATTATTGGATTATACCTAATAGAGGTATTTGAGCAAAATATATGCATAGATTAAAACAATATAAAAGTAAATTTACTTGAATTGATCAATTCCATCCTTTGTTGAGCTTTCAACCAAGCTACATCAAATGGTTGATTTGATTGTATTTCTGGATGACTATTTAATAATAATTCTCGGTTATGATGATTTAAAAGTGTAGGATCTTTTACTGAATAAATAAATGGTACAAATTCATCTTGTCCTTCATTCTGTAATAAGACAGATTGATTTAGATTTTGATTATTTGTAATATTATAATGCCTTCGAATAGTACGTTCATTTTTCAAATCATCAGGTGAAATAAGGCGTTTAATCGATGGCTGATCAGGGTGTGTAGATTTTATCAATATGAAATCTGATAAAAAATTTGGTCTAGTTACAGTGACATTTGATTTTTGATCATTTTGTAATCTGTTTGATTCATGAAATTTTACTGATTGTTTTTTAATTAAAACTGGATTTGTTGAGTCAAGATTAATTGAATCTAGTTTTTCTAAAGGATAAGAAGAAATATGTTGGTTTGAAAATGCCCAGTTGACATTTCTTTTGTCAGGGAATGAAGTAGAAGAAGTTACTGTTGAAGCGTGAGAAAGAATGCACGTTGATTGAATCATTTCTGTTTCATTTGTTTGAAGTGTTTTCTGTGATGAAGTGGTTGAAAGTAGGACAGTGGTGTCTTTCTGATTTGAATCCCATGGAACAACAGATCTTCCATCAAGAGGATATTTTGCTGAATCTTTGTTTCTTTCATCTGGATCACTGGTTGAAACTGGTTGTGACTTAGATTCTGTCACCTCGGAAGAATTATTTGTTAATATTTTCATTTCATTGCTAATTTTCATTACGGAAGAATCTGATAATTTATCTGACTGACAAATTGAACTCTGTTTATTTGGAATGTTAGCTGTGACGGGATTTTTACATGATGTTCTCAAAGGGGTTTGTACTGATAATGTGTTATCTGTGTCATGAAAGTTTTGATGAGATTTGCTCTCCGATTTCTCCAAAACATTATTGTTCTTCGCCTTTTCAGATACAGTCTACGAAATTAAATGTAATTAATAGAGCTGAATAAATTGAAAATAATAAATAGGCAGGTTAATCAGTATATATCAGTTATATTTTAATACTTGGAAAGAGTATGTCAATCGACGTTGGAAATTTTTTTATTGATTTGAATTACCTAGAGGACAGATCACGGTAGTTGAACACTGACGATTTTAAAGTTTGGATTTGTTTTGTAAAAATTGACATTTGAAATGATTTTTTTTGTCAAAATTAGAGTCGTTTTCGATAGACGGATGACCGGATATCACTATTATAAAAGAGGCTTAACAGTAAAAACCATCGAATGTTAAGTGAATTATTGTTCCGTATTTTTTCAACATTTGTGTTAGGTTTTTAAAAGATGTTTAAAGTGTTCTTTGCATAATAATTACATTGAAGAATGTATTTGTAAAATGTCAGCGAATGAATTTCAAGTAAATTCAACATTTCGCCTGGCAATCTAGTCCAAGCTTTTTCAAGGAAATATAATCAAACATCAAAATTATCGAATATTAATAGGTACATGGTTCTCCGGTTCATTGTATACTGAATAGGTCATCTAATAGACGTTAACAATGTTCAATGTAGGTATCTGCATTAGTCTAAATTGTTTAGATTGATTTTGTATTATGAGTATAGTGTTAAAATCTCATCATGTGAATCCGATGCTTTCTATCTTAATGATACTTTAGGTGAACATCCCTAGTTAAATTTTTACATAACTAACTAATCATATTACTTTCTAATGAGCAACAATTTGGTTTATAGGATAAATTATCCTCAATAAATCAACTATTGCTCTAATTGTTTTCAGTTTTAATAATAAATTAAATACATTGGATTGTTTGTTCTTTTTTCTCCTTGATTCCCTTAATCTATTTTGATGCTCTTGTGTGTTTGTATTTGTATAGGATTAATCATTCACAATGACATGAATTACTGTCATGGAAAATAAACTAATTGATGATAGATTGTTAGTTGTTGACAAGTACTAGAATTTGGTAAAGTAATTACAACAATGAGAGATTTATATTAATTAGTGGGATATTGATTTGTTGTTACTATTATTTTTATTCGTCTATTATGTATGGGTGTCTATGAATGAATGAATGAGTGAGTGAATGAATTAATGTATATGATTGATTGTCTCCTATCAATTTGATTTCAATATTCAATGCTTCTGATTCCTCTTGTTCCTGGGAGGTAATTTATCAATAAAAAAAATGAATCATCGCCTATTTGTTAACTATACACATGCTAATGAGTTGATTGATTAAATAGTACACTAGTTTAATTACTGAATATGAGAAAACCTAGTAATTTAACGATGAAATTTGATATTCAGGTTAATTAATGGAAGACTAGCCTATATCCATTGCGACGATAGTTATTTTTTACAAATTAATTTGTTCAGTTCTATGAAATAAGGAGTGTAGTTATTAAAACACAATGAAGAGAAGGTTTTTCATTTATCTGATAAATTGTGAGAAAGAATAACGTTTCAAGAACACATTTTAATTATGAGGAAGGCTATTATAACCATCTGTAATCCTTCATTATTTTTCTAGATATCATCAATCATTTGAAACTATCCGTTTAAGCCAAATCGTGGAAAAAAAACAACAACTGTAGAGTGTATCGTTAATCATAATTTTAGCCATTTGACGTATTTATCCATCCATCATTATTTCAGTTTCGTTAACTATAGAAATAAATAATGATTGCAGAAAATAATAAAAAGGATTTATCTACAGATACTGGCTCTGAAGTTTATTGGGTTAACTCCTCTACAGGTAACCCTCAGTACGGTCACTAGTACCATCAATTGTTTGACTCCATAATGTGTAACTAGATGTAGAAACATTGGAGCAACTGAAATACATAATAATAGGATAATTGCTGAAAAAAAACTAGTTAGTTAGTGTACTTTATTTTCTGAAATAATAATTCCAAAACAGTAAAAACTCACAGTTCTTGTTTTTACGATTAATTTTTCTTTGAACTTAAAGATTATTTTGAAGTGATTAAGAGCAATAGTTGAACTGGTCGTATTCATACTTCAAGATGTTCAACTGTCAATAATTGGTTAGCTATTTAGACGTTAAGTAATTCTAGTCAATCATATTTAATCACTACTGGCTAGGAAATTGAAACTGTTTACTAGAATCAGGTTAAATGTATTATAAGTGAAACTTCCAGTGTAGAGATTAGAATTTAAACCAACACTACATTAGCTTATGGCTGTACGTTACTTCAATATATCACAATGAAGCAAATGCCTTTTATTGAGTTCAAAAATGAAGCTGAGTGTGAAATGGGACATAAAGAACATGACCCAAAAGATATGAGTGACTTGACCATTTTAATTTTGTGTTTCTTACAAAGTAAATATTTCTATTCAGTGTTAGAGAAGTACCGATTTACAACACAAAATGTCATGGAACAAATAGTAATTTTTAACTAAATCTGATTTTAAAAAAACGCAATAGCTTTCAGATTATTCATACACTAAACATTTACTACTTGTATTTCAGTGTTAACGTGTGGTGCGTGCTACTTATATTGATATAACTAGTATATGACACGAGTTAGGAATGTAATGTCTGGCAGCAGAAGATGGGGAAGATCAAGAAAGGAAGAGCGGGAATAGAAAGCAATTAGTATGGAAATGCAAAAACAACGAAGTTCGAGACAATTATTGAACATTTTGCATATTAAGCATTATAGTATGGTTTTTCTATTTTACCAAGTAACTCTGTAATTTTGTGCTAAATATAATTCGGTTGTCCTCACCTCTGTTATCCTTCACTACAAAAGTAGTAGAGTTGCGCTTATCATCAAAATAATCAAATTTATTATCACCAAAATAACAATTCAACAGCTTGTAAATTGTTCTTAATTATTTAAGCCGAGTTGGATAGTGGATAGCAATGGGATTCAGAATGTTTTTTTGTCCTGATTTTAACTTATCAGAAGGATACACTTACATTTTGATGTTGATATTCATTCATGAATTCAAACTTACTGTCCTTCTCTTTAAGCACCATTGAATTATCTACTTATTTACTGAGTCTAGAAAGTCCGTATCATGTACAATGGAGAAGGATTATTCATTTGTAAGGGTTTAAAATTTTTGAGCAGTATTGAAATTCAGACACTTCTGGGCAACGAGTCTCAAATGGGACGAAAAGTGTATTTGAATTTTATTGATAGCTATAAATATTTGTGAATGGCGACAATATCAAATTACTCTGCTCAGAATGTACATACATTCAAACAGACTGATTAGTTGCAGTTCTCAAAACAAGATTTAAACCCTTATTCATATATGATTCCATTAATTACATATCAGATAATTGAAAATGCGTTAACATATTCCTTAACATTTTTCTCATCTTTTTTAGTAAATATCCATTTTATGCTACATTACGCGTAAATGTATTTCTATAATTGATTTTTATTTTTAATCATTTCTACGGTAAAACAGGATATACTTAGGTATGGATACTTTTGGGCATAAAAAATGATTCATTTATTGTCTTTTATCGATCTATTTTGTAGCTTATCTTTGTCAATGGACAATACTAAGAATAGATTTATTAAAATTGTCATTAAACTGACAGTCAGTTTCTTTTAATATAAGTGAATGGAACAGAAAAAAATAAAACAGAAAACAAACTATTTGCAAAATTTAAAATTCACTTACTTCGGTAAATCAGTCAGTTCGATTTTATATTGTAATGAAGTAGCTGGATGTCTTGGTGGAACTGATGGTGGACAGGGTGGGGAAGACGGTGGAGGTAAAGGTGGTGTTGGTGATGTGGATAATTTTAAATTTGTTGTTGAAGAAACAGATGTACTAATTTTTGTTGAACAATTGAATTCAGAAGTTGAAGATACATTTAAATTAGTAATGATATTAGAGGATTTATCAGAAAGTTTGTCTATAACTAATGAACGAACTTCATCTGGACGACAATGTTCATGATAATGCGGTGCTTTCAAATCAACATTTTTAGAATTCATTATTGAATCTTGAAGTGGTGTTGGAGGAGGAGGTGGGAACCAAGTATTTGTATTGACTGATGAATGAGGTTGGGTAGGGATATTTACAGTTTTCTTGGATGGGGACACATAAGAATTAATCGTATCTGAGGTTAAATGACTCTATAATCAAGTAAAAATGCACAATTAATAATTAAATGTCTTAATGATTACTAATTTATCATAAGAAAACATCATTAACCCTTAATTTTATAGATCAGCTAATTCTGTAACTAAGACGTGAAATGCTCTTCTTTATGTTAAAATATTTATGGAATGAAACTATGATTTTTTTCATACTAATTCAAATAGATTAAGAACTGTATATGTATGTAGTAAACAAAGGTTTAGAAAGAATAAATTTGAGTACAATAAATGTAATTGCTTACGCCTGTTACTCCTCGTGAAGGAGCATAGGCCGCTCAACAGCATTCGCCATCCAACCCTGTCATGGACAATCTTTTACAGTTGTTATTCATCCTTTTCATATCTGATTCTATTTCCTGACGTAATGTGTTCTTTGACCTTCTTCTTTTCCGCTTCCCTTCAAGATACCAAATTAGGGATTGCCTCGTGATGCAGTTTGATGGTTTCTGTATTATATGTCCTATCCATTTCTATCGCCTTTTTCTAATTTCTTCTTCAGCTGAAAGCTGGTTCGTTCTCTCCCATAGTAGACTGTTGCTGATAGTATCCGGCCAATTGATGTTGAGTATCTTGCGTAGACAACTATTTATAAATACTTGAACCTTCTTGATGATGGTTGTAGTAGTTCTCCAAGTTTCAACTCCGCACAGCAGAACTGTGTTGACGTTCGTATTGAAGATTCTCACTTTGATATTGGCTTGTAGGCAGTTGTTTTGAGTTCCATATGTTCTTCAATTGTACGAATGCGGCCCTTGCTTTGCTAATCCTCGCCTTTACGTCTGCATTTGATCCTTCTTGTTCATCGATGATGTTTCTCAGGTATGTGAAGGATTCTACATCTTCCAGAGTTTCGCTATCAAGTGTGATTGGGTTGGTGTTCTACGTGTAGTATTTGAGGACCTTGGTTTTCCCCTTGTGTATGTTGAGGCCTACTGATGCACAGATCGCTGCTACACTGGCTGTTGTTCGTGTGTATGCGATAGGAGGGCTGGGTCATCTGCGAAGTCCAAATCGTCTAATTGGTTCTGAGCTGTCCATTATATGCCATGTTTTCCCTCAAATGTCGAGGTCTTCATAATTCAATTAACCACCATAAGAAAGAGGGAAAGGTAGAGTAGACAGCCTTGTCTGACTCCGGTCCTTACTTGGAATGCATCTGTCAGCTGTCTTCCATGCAAGACTTTGCACTGTAGTCCATCGTATGAGTTCCAGATAATGTTGACAATCTTTTCAGTAACTCTATAGTGTCGAAGAAGTTTCCATAATGTTTCCCTATCTACACTGTCAAACGCTTTTTCATAATCCATGAAGTTGATGTACAGTGACGAGTTCCACAATAAATGTTGTCACAATAATCAAACAGGCTTATATCTTGTAGGTAAATAGATAAGTATTCAATTAAATAAGAAAAAAAATACTTCTACAAAAATTCAATTACACTGATAATTCTTTCCATCTAAAATCATTAGAAAATACATACAGTTATAAAGAAGTTATTAGAAATTATTTATATAATGAAAGTTGATGAATCACATAAAATCGTTTATTTATTTATTTATTATATATACAGATTCCTTTATTTCTCCTTTTTAACAGTCATATAGTTCTAAGTTAATATTAGTCCACACATTACAATTATCATTCTTAATCTATGCAAAATAGCAACTAATAAACATTAGATTTATATTATAGTCAGGAAGTAAAATATGAGAATTATTATCTCATTTCTGTGAAATTTCTTGACAGTTTAAGAAGTGTATTTGTTTTCTCTTCTTCTTCTTCTTCTTCTTCTGTTGGTGTTATTATTATTTTACTGATTCTGTTAAACTAGACAATCATATATCATCCTATAGATGTTGATTTGATTATTGAAAGTTATAATTCTCATCAAGAAATCATAATCATTATTATCAGGGTTATTATAATATTTAATAATTTATTCTGGTGGTCTATTGAGAATGGTTAAATTATCAATTCCCATGAAAGAGTAATTTTTGAAAAAAAACTTTTATCCCATATATATATATATATATATATATATATATATATATATATATATATATATGCTTTAAACATTTGTGTGATTAAGTTTTTGTTATTATTAATCATTTTGACTTGTATGCTTCATATCGAAGGTTAGCTAGATGGAATATTCAACACTGAAGTGGCAAGTACATTTACATTAGTTTAAACCATGAACTGATCTTGCCTAGATCATCAATGAAAAGCCTGAAAGCAATGAATAGCCGTTTCATTTTAGGATAGTACACCTCGACACTGCACATCATTGACTCATCCACTCCAGACAATGGATGAAGGTTACTTAATACTGTAGAATCAATAAAGGCTATATATGTACACCATTGGATATCAGCTAGATGGTCTAGACGTCAAAGATTCCTGAGTGAGGTTGAAGATCGTAGATTCTATTTTTGGCAAGATCATGAACACGCACCGCTGGAGAAATGTACAAGGGTGAAACGGTCATCCAGTGATTCCAGGTTTTCAGTGGTGGTTTAGTTAAGATAAGACTAAGACTCAAACTATGAAAACTCCTCAATCTCCATAAATCCTCGTAAACTAATATCTAAAATAGCTAGTTGTGTAGAATGTACCACCATATTTGAAGTAACTGAAATTCTTCATTTATTCATCAAAAGTAGCTGTGATAAATACTTACTGAAAACTACAGAGAAAAGTGAATATGTGTTTGAAATTCATCATTAATAAGTTTTTCTACATCTATAAATGACTGTTTAATGAATACTGTCCAATGATGGAAATTTTGTTTAAACAATCATATGTTTGACATTAAAGAGAAAGAATGTGTTTGTAAAATCTCAGTGAAAGGATTTGAAGTAAATCCAACGTTTCGCCTGGCAATCTGATCCAAGCTTTTTCAAGGATTTACTTCAAATTCATTCGCTGAGATTTTACAAATACATTCATCCACTTTAATGTCTCACATAAACTCGGCGCCCAAATATTGTGAAACTATTCGTTGAAATCATATGTTTGGTTGGATAAATCGATTCACATAAACTTGACAAAATGATAAGTGACTTATTTTCAATTCGGTATATAACAAAACAAACTATCAAGAATATAAAAAGATGAAAGAGTGTTTGCTGAAAATAAGTTCTTATAATTCATGTAAGTTAAAAAAAGAGTTACAAATACCTTCAAACCATTCATTCATTGCCTATGAATTACAGATTTCCTTGATTAAATGCAATATTCATTGGTAAACCATGAATGAAGGTTTACTTTCGGTTGAGAATGTTAAGCAAGAGATATTTACAATCCTAAAGGAACTGACGTTCACAATTAAATTTCAATCAGTATCTCACAGTGACAGTCAGAAATGTCGCCAATGAGCTATTCGATTCGAGGCATCTACTAACCACTTTTTATTAACTACTTAATGAGTGAACACATATGAGAATCTTTATTAAAGTATACTGTTTGAAGATCTAATTATTGTCGTAAGATAAATAGTTAAAGGAATGTTATTGATCATTAAGTTCATTGAAGTGAATGTTACGCGAAAAAATTTACACTTTGGTTTCTAATAAACAAAGTATTGAAACAGAATGTTTCACTTCATGAATTGAACCAACGACTGAACATAATCACTTTACAAGTCATTTATAATGAGTGGATTAAGCTTCATATGAATGTAGGTAATACTTATATTACTGGTGACCATACTGACATACAAAATAGTTAACCTAGCTGAATGAAATACATTGGTCAACAGAAGATCATATTATCAGATGTGCCAAATAGTTTAATTATGTTAGATAATTTTTTTTCAAGTACAAGATGAATGTAAATAACATTTTACTTAATTGCATTTTTCTTTCATATTGTATCGTTTGGGATCATGAGCAATCAAAATTTAATCTACGAATAATTACATTAAAATATTTATATACCAAGCCAAAAAATGTTTTGAATATTATTAGTTCATATAAAACTGTGGTGAGACTATAATTTATGGATGACCTTTGAGAGACGGTAAAATGGCCTTGAGAATACTCACTTACTTACTAGTGCTAATTAAGAGTTATAAACCTGTGCAAAGAATAAGGATCATAGTTTACAGTTGATGGTTAGCGTTAGGAATTAGATTTAAAGTTTTCATCAAGAACTGACATCATCTAAAATCTCAAAACGCTCTTTAACCAAATGGATGAATGAATTTCACATCAAAATCCAAGAACTGTTATCTTATAATTGATTGATTCATCCATAAATTATAGTCTCGCCACTACAGTAATATTTATTTTAACTCACTTTATTATTGCTATCACAGGCGGAAAGTGAATCGTGTACAAGACTAGCTGACGTAACTGTCATTATGTCGGAATTTGTTTGAGTACTTTGAGTTGAAACTCTGTGTGTCATAATGTCTTTGACATTGTTGTTCATGTGATTTTTTGTAATGGAGGAATTATCAATAAAAGTTGGTGTTGTTGTAACGCTGTTAACAGTACTTGTAGTAGCTAATGATTGTGAAGAGATTTCTTTTGGTAAATGATTATCATGTTCCATTAATAAATATCTATCAATCAAATTTTCATAAATAACTGATTTATTTGATTTACTGAGATTGGATGGAGAGATTTCATGAACTGCTGCACCATCTGGTGGACATCTTGGTGACATGCATATATGTGGTCGAGAATTTTGTAAGAAATGAGATTTGTTGTAATTCTGTTCACCTGTTGATGCATTCATAAGATCCAATTGTTGCTTGATTCTACACTCTTTAGATTCTTCACGTAACTGTATTTTGATTGGTTGAGAAGTGATTAGTGTATCCTGTTTCACTGAAATTTATAAAGAGATAAGTTGTGGAAAATTAGCAGTCCTACTAATCATTTCATTTTTAATCTGTCTGAGTTTATTTATCGTTATACATAATGAAGTTTTTAAATGTTTCCATTTATCATTTAAGTATACAGTTGAGTGAAAAATATTAGTTATTAAGTTATAGCCTCTGTAGGACCCGAGACAAAAATGCATTAGCCAAATTGCCGACATCATATAACCACCCAGATATAAATTTGGCAAAATGAAAATCATAGAAATTGAAATATTAGTGGCACCTATGATAATAAGGAAGACTAAATATAGAGAAAATAGTTGATAAGGAAAAAAAAGTATGGGAGAATATTACATTTCATGACCTTGAGAAGATAAAAATAAATTTGGATCACGCAGTTCGATTTTAAGTCAAATCATACAAGTTTTTAACCTCCAATTCAGTTTATAGCTGCAGCCCAACCAAGTAATCTGTATCTACTAACATGGCTCAGATAAACATTTAGTAGAATCATGGAATGGTGATACAAAGTGGTTTTGGTAGCCCTAGATTTTATCCGACCTTCTCTTATCTCAATCATCATTGGGCGTTGAAATAGATGATTGTGGAGCTTATGTAAAGAGATTACTGGGCACCTTAGTGAAGATTCACGGTCATAATGACCGATGTGTTATCTTAAAACAGTATCCTATTTACTTATAATTAAGTTACAAATATCTTCGTAAAACCGATTAGATTAGTAGCTTAATAATAAGAAAACTAAAAATACATGTAAATTATCAATTATAGCTTCATGTACCAGAATTGGAGGGCTGGAAACATTATTCGGCTTCATGTAGTGACAAAAATGAAAAGGGGAACTGAACCTGGATCCTAATATTCACTTAATCATTAATCTACATGATCATTATCTGATCGTATTTTACGATTTTTCAGTTATTCGTCTGTTGTTTTGAACTAGAAAAATATATTGGCTAAATGTAGAAATTCTAATTTATAGGTTACATATTTTAATTTATCTTACGACTAAGTTTTTCTGTCAACTTGAATCGTATCATTGAATTTAAATATTTTAACTGTATGTATTTTATGATTAACATCTATTTCTGCTCTATAGTTGCTATTTAGAATAAATTAGCTTCTATTGCATAAAATGACATTATACCTAATACTTCTCCTTCTGGAGATAAACCCATTTTGGTGACTGAAACTCGTTTAAGTTAGTGAAGTGACAGTATGACGTCATTCTTTTCAAAAGTGAAATTACACCGAATACAGATTTGTTGGTTACAAAATTTTATTACGCTCTCATATCTCTGAAGTATACTTTCAACTTATCTAACGAAATCCATATCAATATTGTAAAATGAATACTTGAATAATTACTAATCAATTAAGGGGAAATTCTATTTTTCAAGTATTTTATTATTTCCACTAACTTACTTGTGCATTTTTTATCTTGTAAAGATGAAGAATTATAATTTGTCAAATTAGTATTGGTTTTATTATTATGACTGATAATTGGTTCCTTTTCAAGTAAAGTTGATGTGGATATTATCTTAGTATCAATATTATTGGGTATTTTTTGCTTGTCAGAAGGATAATTTGATAAAGAATCAGCTTTTATCCTATGTGAAATGAGTAGAAACAAAACAATAAATAAATATAGGCATAGAAACAAAAAATCTATGAATAAAATTAGCTTAAAATAGTAATTTTTCTGAATAACTGACAACTGTTGAAAATATTTGTTTTCTGGAGACTATATAATCCAATTTTCTTCCACTGCTATACATGTCTTCGATGTGGTATCTGAAGTATATATATATATAAGTTGAGTATTCCAGTTTAAAGAGACTCAGTTATATAGTTTTAAAGCACATCAATCTTTCGATTTGACCAATTTAGTAACCAAAAGAAACAGGTTGGTATTGATTCTCACACCCCAAAAAATTATCATTTGTGTTTACTTTTTGTATTTTTTCACATACTGAATTGAGTTTTCAGTTCTGTACAAGCATCAACTGATAGTTGATTAAAAAACTCGATACACTGAGATAATAATCAAAAACCTCAATATTACCTCAGAAAATTATCATTTATTTTGATAGAATCCTTTGTAGAATTTTCTAGGCAAAACGTTTAATGACAATTAAGTATAAAATGATGTTATTTTAGCGTATTCAATGATAAGACTAACTTAGATGTCATAAACAACAAAACTATGCTGATGATAAATAGTTTGTGTTATCACAGTATTTTAAAGCTTCTTGTGTTTGCTTAAAGACTTGGACATTATAGGTTTAATATCTGTACAGATTGTGTCTGTAAACGTTTTGAGAGTGACATGCTACAAGCAAATGAGCAGTCAGTCCTCCATGATCTTTAGTGATTGTCTAGCTAGGGTTGATCTGTGACCTATCTGTAAAAAATACTCTTTTTGAACTGATTTCTTTTTCTAAATCGATGTTAAAAGTAACAGAATGAATATTGCTGAACTTATGTTCGTATTTCTCTTCATAATTGTTACTGCTCTTAAGAACAGCGATTCTTTCTCGACGATTCAAACTTGATTTAATTCCTCTTTCATTTGTAGTGATCAAAGATTGAGAATGCAGAACTCGATGTAATATTCATTTCAAATTATACATGAGATGTTCCATGTTTATCTTTTTGACTAATGTCGAAGATTGTAAAAATTAAGAGTCAAGGTTTTGTTACCAAATGCCAGTAATTATCCAGGTTAAGTAAACAACTTGATAACTACTGTACATAAATAATGAGTAAATAAACAGTATGAATTTAATTATTATTTGACCATTATTTACTGTGTCTATTTATTTTTTGTTACAACCATTACACCAAAAAATGGATTAAATCTAATAGATTAGATAGGATAATATTAGTCTATATGCTTATCAACCTACCCATTGCTGTCCATATTTCAAAAATGAGAAAATGTTGAAATTTCAAACAGGAGCTTATTTTCTATCGATCATAGTTTAGACATTCAATTTAACAGAAGAACAAGTAACAATCTAACAATTGAGATCATGAAAACAGGTAGAGGAATACTTAAACAAGACTAGATTTGAATGATCGATCTATATCACTTTTCTATCTCATATTATTATTATTATTGAGCTTGCATTAGATAAAGAAAGATGTAAATTTTTATTATTTTTTTTTGAATGAAGTATGAAACAAGATAGAAACTGAACAGTGAATGCTGTAATTTGAGTAGAAATTTAAAATTCAATTTATTTAGTTTACCAGACAGGGATATATATATATATATGTATAATTGAATGGATTTTTTCTTAAGCATGTCTATATGCTTTAAAACTATCTTTCTTCCCAATCAGTCAGTCAGTCTTGAATCGGTCACATAGTAAAATCATCTCAAAGCATAAAATTTTTAGAGAATATTTGATATTGGATAATATATGCACATATATATGTACATTAAATAGAACTGTAATTTATCTACTGATTAATATGACAACTAAGAATAAATTAACCCTGAAGTTCCTTTTTTTTTCTATATTTTCTTAAATAATAAATTAATAACATTAAATAAATAACCCCCTTTCATATGTTTATAACTATGCTTTTATATAAAATTCATTGATGGGAGATATGAATTTATATACTTTAGGTGAGTAATACCTACTTAAAATTTAATTATAGAGAAATATATTCTAATTAGATATGGGTATAATTCATATCTAAACTAATGAATATTATAATGACATTCTATATTCTTTCGTATAAAACGATGCAGGAAGGTATACATATATATATATATATTTATAAATAATTTATTGATGATAAAAATAAGAATAATTTAATGCAGTAATGATCATCTTACAGTTTTAGTTAAGTATTATACATAAAATAAATATTCAATTCAATAAAACAATAAACGTTGTTTATTTGAAATTGGTCATTTTATATGTTAGATGAAATCACTTCAAAGACTAAATGGTTAGGTTTCATCTGAAACGTGCGACTGCTGGGCAGACATGGGATGTAGATGGCTCAGTAGGCCAGTGGAGCACAGGTGTTAGACGTCTCAGGTGCCGGGTGGATATCGGATGTTAGTGCCTTGGCAGGTCGATGGAGCTATAGAGGTCAGCGTGCCGCAGAATCAACATTTTGACTGAGAGCGTGGCACAGGCTGCAGAGAAGTGGTAAGGTGATCAGAACCACCGCAGGAACGAATGCTTTAAATGGGGGACGAGTGTGATATGGGTTACTTATATCCACACAAGTTGTATATAATAGTGGTCAGGTATAGAATGTATTTCAGTAGAAAGTCGATGAGGGAAGAACGGGAACGGAAAGAAATTAGTATGAAAACACATGAACAATGAAATCTGAGACAATAGATTGATGTTTGCAACAAGAACAGTCAAGTTTGAGATGAATGATTGATATTTTGTAAATTAACGATTTACTATATGGTTCTCAGATTTGATTGAGATGCTCTGTAATTTCGTGTCAAATACATTCGATTGTCCCCACCCGTCTTCTATTCTACTGACTAAATAACATTTAAAAAAAAAAAGTTTACATAGTAATTCAACACTATTACTTATTATGAAGTTCAAATAAAACGAGAATCAACATGGATGGAGAATAATATGAATTCATTATATTTCATGGTTTCTTATCAATTGCTTACAATCATATGTGTATTGAAATTTCATATTGAATTTATATTATTTTGAATCCATGTTCGTTCTCGTTTTATTTAAATTCATAAAGGAAACTAATTGCATGAAACATTACGAAGCTATTTAAAGAAAAAGATTTTAGGATTAAATATTATCTGTTGTTAAAGAAAGACAGTTTGTTAGTTCAAAATCTTTGGTTTTAGTGCAAATCTATCCATGATATTGTATATAAAGTTATATGAATATCATTGTTCTACTACTAGTTAGATTTACATAATCACTATCAGTTAGGTTTGATAGTGTTTTAAGCTCTACTGATTAATGTGACAGTTTCTATCACAAGAGATAAAGAATTGATAAGTGTTTCAAAGTTTCATTAATAACATTTCATTGGATAGACTAAGAAGATAAGGAACTTTAGTTTCAACACTATAGGCTTGTATCATACGTTAAGTTGATATACATTATTTTCTTGTTTATTTGAACGTTAATCGTTACTACATTTGAACTGTTAGTGAATATGCCATTTAAGTGAAAATATAATGCATGAATTAATTTGTAAAATCAATAAGGTTTATAAGACTGTTAGCTTTTGTGTACTCTGTTGGAAGAGTTAATAGGAATCTTTATGTATCCAAAAAATTTAATAATACATTAACTTTAAAAAAAGTCAAGTTCAAGCTTCACATTTTATCTTATTAAGATAGGATTCAAAGATAACAACAAAGGATTAAAAGATTAGCAGCCATTCAAAACTTAATTTACAGGACACAAAGTACATACATTATTTCACTACAGAGATTTTTATGATTTATTTAATTTCCAGTTGAAAGATGGTTGATAGGTATTACGAATTAATAAAGGTTAAACAAGTAAACCGTTGAATAATGTCTTAGCGATTTATAGATTAAGGTCCTAAGTTCCATTTCTGATGACGGACATGAATACCTCTCTTTTGTGGAATCCAATACTAGAACAAAACAGTTGTATAGTGCTTACTGCTTTCCAATGGCTATTTAACTAAGATCAATTCATGATGTTAACTAAACAACACTTCATATAAGTGCCATTTTAGAATGTGTAGCAAAATGATGAGTGTTCCGGTAATACGTTGTTGTGAATACATCTGCCTGAGTGAAAACTTTCTATAGGAATCATTCGTAGCGTACTGCTTCAAATAATTCATGAATATAAATAAGTGACTATCTAATCAGCTTACATGTATGCATCTTATGAATTAACAGTATCATTAAATCCATAAAGTTAACGAATTTCAAGCAAATATTGAAATAATTTACTACTCTGATAGCATGACGTTGAAATATATGGATAATCTTTAAAATCACAAATATCTCAATACAAAAAATATCCTAAATAAATTAATTTACATATGGAAATAATTAAAATTTTTTAGACATATGTTCCCCAATGAACTAACAGGATTTTCTCACAGCTGTCAAGACATTATGATCATCTGAACTATTGTTCTATAAAAAGTAAATACTTTCATATTCATAAACAAACATGAAGGCAGTGGTGGGCGGTGGCGCAATTTCGTGGATTGGTTGAAGTTAGACATTAACACCGTTGGATGCCGGCTCAGTGGTCTAGAGAAACCGATAGGTCCTGGGTCCGAATCCTGCGGGCGTGATAGTGAATGCGCACTGCTGAGGAGTCCCATACTAGAACGAAACCGCCGTCTAGTGCTTCGAAGTTTCTGATGGTTGTCTAGCTTCAATTGACTCATGAATCCAACTATTAAATTATTTTATCTAATAACGTATCAATCAATAAAACTCAAAATATTATTTTATTTTTCAACTAACCATTTAAAAAGACTAATAAATTCACTTTAAGAAACGACTAATTAACTTGTATGATCAACCAAAATTTTAAATTTCGGATCAATTTGGTTAGGTCTCCAAAATATACCAATGATATACTTCTCT